GACTGTAAGCTGTTTATAGCCTATCAAAATGTTTTTTTTTCAGCGAAAAAAGAAAGATACAAGCGCAAAATGAAAAGAAGGAAATATTTTCGCTAAGTGCAAGTGTTCCATGGCTACCCGACAGATGGCGCTAGTATGTGCTCTCGTGTTGCGATTTTAACAGGTTTTAAAGCACACGGTGGAAAATCTCTAAACCAGTCAAACCCCCCCCCTTTATCCCCCCCCCTCACCCCCCCCCCCCCCTCCCCCGGAAAACAAAAGAAAAAAAGAAAACTTCATTTGCCGGATAGTGTGAACATCGAACAACGGTCGGTGGGAGTAATAAACTCATACAAGCTGGTGTTTCGATGTTGCACCGACTACTCATGGTGGCGCAGTCACCTACAACGCAAGAGTGTTCGAGCGATGTAATAAACGCTGCATTCTGGCATAGAAATACTTAGGGCGAATGTTCATGAACATGATTTCTCATGATAGCTAGAGCCGAGTTTATGTCATGTGAAACTACAGCATACCGTTGCTGTAGTCGAAGTTAAAGGAAAGAGCGTGACATACGTGCCTCTTCAGGAAGGCCAGACAAGCTACGGGCACAGTGTTGGGTTGGTGCAAGCACAGTGTTGTGTGGTGGGTTGGTGCAAGCCACGCCTGGGCCATCTGCATCCATTCACTCGGCCCAGGTGCAATCTATGATGATGACGGCGGCGTTCAGTGTCATTGTTCGACAGAATAAAAGCGCCTTGAGAAAAGATTCAGGTCTGTCATGATGTAGGAAATATTGTTTCATCATTCAATGAGCATTTCAAAGCACGCATTAGTAATAGCCATCTCAAAAATTGTATTGTACAATGTTTTTTGGCGTTAAGTTTTCAAACGAATGCGTTTTAATCAACAAAAACTCTAGACACAAATCTTTTTTTCAAACTCGGCTTCAGAGGTAAGATTTGTGATATTTTTTTCAACGTTTACGTTGTAACTATAATAAATAGGAAATACTATTACTTCTTTGTCGCCTCTTTTCTGTCATTTTTTTTAATAATTGAAAGACACGGAACTCCTAAAACAGTTTAAGGGCCTTGATATAAAGCGTACGTTAGAAATAAATAAAAGAAGTGACGCTATATTTATTTTGCGAGACAATTTACGTGTATGTATTCTACGTTCTAGACCTCGTTTCTTTACTTCTGTTATAAGCAACAAGTCAGCTCTCATTGGCTAAAGAGTTGGTTGATGTATGTCCTTAGTCGTGAAATCGTTGATGTGTCTTACGATAGTTATTTGTTTTATATATTTTATGATTAAGTTACAAATCATCAACACAGTCATTACTGCTTGCAAAAATAGCACGACATCGCCTTTTCCGCTTTGGTTTCAAACGATAACAAGTTTTATTGCAATGAATATTCCAATATATAGTTTAGCTTGTTAAGCTCGTTGATTTTTATGAGTGCGAGTCGTTTTGCGTTCACCGAGATGTTTTGAGGAAGATTTTCTCAACCAACGTAGTTTGAAGCAAACAGCTGACGTACGTGCATGATGGAGTACTACTGAAATTCATTATTTTGTAACAGAACTGGCGTAGGCATAGTGTGCTACCTTAACTATAAGATGGCCATAATAGTTTCTAGCGCTGTGAAAGAAAAACAGAAATATAATTTCTAGGTACTTAAAAAAGTTTTGGGAATTTTTGTGTCCTTTTGACAAAGAGTGAACCGAATGTATGACACAAAATAAAATATCACATTATTTCGAAGTAAACATTTTTATTGGGTCATCAGACTATGGGAAGTATCAGAGCCCTAATTATATCTTGCCGCGGGAGTCATTCCTTTCCTGGCGACCAGCATTCGCTCAAACTCGTAAATCTTGTTGCTGGTTGCTGACAATATACAGTGTAGACAAAAAAACAAATGCTGTTTAATATTCCATTTGTATAGCGACCGCCAGTGAATAACTCGCACACTGAAAAAAAAATGCAATAAAAGATAAAAGTTAGTGAACCTACACTCGTTAAAATTAATTTTATGTTACGAATCACTTTTATGTATGATGTTATCATACTAAAAACAGCGCACAAGCATAGAGAAAAAGAAGAAAAGGGAATACAGCACTCGGTGTTCTTTTTGCTACTCTTCCTTACTGTTTTTGCACTGTTTTAATATAATGTTATCTTACCACTAGCTCCAATCTGTACTGTACTACATGTATATTCTACACCACCCTCTGCTTCCATGCCCTCAATATTATTGTATTGTAAATATTCTTGAGGGCTAGTTACAACCATACATCTGCTTATATAAAATGACTGGCTGGCGGAGGAATTTGCAGATAAATCTACACCGCCGCAAGGTGTAACTATATCGATTATGCGTCATTTATTTTACTTTCATTAAATATTTTACTTACGTTATACTAACGCTTTGCTTACGTTAAATGTTACGTTATACTTACGTTAAAGACCCCATGCTAACGGTTGTACTGCATTGACTAAATTTCCGTGGTGTTTCAGCTGTAGATGAGAAATTTAACCAGTGCAGTAGAGCTGCTAGCCCGGGGTCCAACGTGCACAGAGCAGTAGTGGTACACGACCGCACGCCGGTACGATTCTAATCTAGATCGAAACGGGAATGGGTGGGGAAAGAATCCTGGGGGGAGCTCAATCGCCACCCCTGCCTGTTTTAGTCTGATTGAGCATCGTACCGGCCTGCAGTCATGTATGAGTACTGCATGGTGCACGCTAAAGACCCCAGGCAAGCAGTTGTACTGCACTGGCTAAATTGCTCATCTACACCTGAGACACCAGACGCCTATTAAAGTTGACTAACTTTGGGCTCTATAAATATACATAGAGCACAATTAATATTATTATTCTATCGTAGCTATTAAGTTAGATCAACTCGCGATGAAAAAATTTCAATGCTCTTCGACTGCATCCGATAGTCTCCCGCATAATTAAACGTTTCCTGACCCGTCGGTCCCTTCTATCTAATTTTCTCGAAAATAAAATTGGTGTCTGTCAATAAGAGCTTATTTTTAGGAAAGTATACATATGTTTTCTGTCTTCACGTCAGCGCTATTCCATGGCACCTGACGGTCACGACACGACCTGATGGCCTGTACGCGTGACGTCATGGAAGGAGATCTTCGGCCATCAGGTGGGCTTAATGGTTAGGCGCATCAAATATAAAAGCTCGAAGGATATACAAGGATCTTGTGTTAATTGTCCTTCGTGCTTTTTATGTTTAGTGTGCATCTTCGATTAGTCGTTTGTCTTTTACTTCGTCATCCAAGGAATCAGTGGCGGCTGTGGAGAGGATATGTGGGCAAACAGCTTTAAGGGATCACTGTGGCCTATTTTTTTTTTTGGGGGGGGGGGGGGGAGGGGGGTGAACAGTATTATAACCCCTTTTAGGAAATACACTTACGGTTGTAATATTCCGGGGTTCTGAGTATAAGGCACTGTTTTCTGTCTGTGAAGATTACCCTCGTTTCATAAAACTCTGTCGAAAAATAAAAATGGAAGTAAATGTACGTAAAAGGTACTATGCGCATTCAACTTTGAATTCGTTTTACTTACTGCCATTTCGATATAACCTTGCCGCTGCTTTAAACGTCTCATCGTGATAACTGAGTCTATAAGGATTAAAAGTTTGAACCATGGCTCTGAAAATGAAAATGTGCTTTACTTTTTAACATCACAGGCACTCACTGGAGACACATACGATGTGTACAGGAATCAAATGTTGTTGGGAAGCTAATATTGTTGTAGAAGGTAGAAACATGGTATGCCAAAGTCACTTATTACACCAGCGCGGAGGTTTTACTGCTAGTGGGACGGCGGCGGGGGAGGGGGGAGGGTTGTTTCTTGAAACAAACAAACAGAACCTCAGCTGTTTCAGCTAGTTTCGAAGCGTTGCCGGACGAGACTGGTGAATGTTGGAACTTTATGTAACAGGACACAGCCAACCATTCCGGTCAAAATGGTCTTGATTTTGCAAGCGTCATATTTGAGTCGTCATATGGTCAGAAATTTAGGTTCGCAGACGCCCCAACGAACGTAGTTCTCATATCGCTGGCCCACAGCCGAACAAGTGCATATTTATCGACGAGAAGACAATCAACAGTAATATTGATGTTTTAAGCGGTTCATATCTTATAAATAATATATATATTGTAAATGGTATTTATCGTAGAAGATGTGTATTGACCGGAGTGTAATATAATGTATACATCACCTATACGGCAATATAGTGCATACATCCGCAATACGACTTACACTTAAATGCAAGAAGCATAAAGAATAAAGTTGATAACCTAGAAGCATTTTTGCATTCGTTGAATGTGCACTTTAATGTAATAGCACTTACGGAAACCTGGCTGACAAAAGAGGACATGGCGCCAATCATGGAGGGTTATAAGTGCGAAAAGAAAAGAGGTGGCGGTATCGCTATTTATATTAAAGATAAACTACAGCATGAGGTTGTAGATGACTTATCTAAAATTGATGCAAACATTGAAAGCTTGTCTGTTAAACTATCAAATACTGTTGTTCTTGCTTTATACAGGCCACTTTCGGGTAATATATATGAATTCATGACCTTTCTTGATGACGCACTGTCTTTCCTTGGATCGCTATTTGTGCCATTCTTTATTCTTGGCGACATAAATATAGACACAATTTCAGATGATCTTCACGCTCAAAATTTTCGCGATATTGTCAACCAGTATGCTTGCAGCAATTTGATAACATTGCCCACTAAAATAACTGCAGACACTGCCACGTACCTTGACGTATGCATAACAAATACTGACACTCATCCTATTACAGCAGGTGCAATCATGTGTGATATTAGTGACCATCTTCCAATCTTATGCCTAGAGTCCTCCTCTGCTAGAGAAAATAACAAAGACCTAGAGACGTTTCGGCATCGCACCATTAATGAGGAAACGCTAAGAACTTTCGGCTGCCTTATGGAAGAAGAGACGCGGAATGACGTTTACGCTGAGTGCAACCCTAGAAATGCCTATAGAATATTCCTGATGAAAGTCAGACAGTACTATAATGCAGCTTTTCCTCTTCAGGAACGTAGAGTGAACTGTAAAAAATGAGAAAGCCTTGGATGACTAGAGACCTGTATGGAAGAATTAGGCAAAAAATGCCAAGTATCATGCCTTTATTCAGCATCGTGACCCGCGGCTGCTTATCGAGTTCAAGAAATGCAGAAACTAACTGAATGCCGACCTAAAAAAAGCAAAATGCGAATACTATCAAAAAGAACTTCTACGTATACACAATGACCTTAGAAAAGTGTGGGACACAGTAAACAAACTCACGAACAGAGAACAGGCACGATGTAATCTGAAAGAAATACTAATAGATAATAAACGTGTCACTGGGAAAGAACTTGGCGATGAAATGAATAGACATTTTATTAGCATAGGTGCGTACACTGGGAGGGCTTCCAACATAGATGACTGTATTGACACAGGAAACCAAATTGGGTCGATTATGCTTACTCCAACGACACCATTTGAAATTGATAAAATAATCAGAAACCTAAAAAATGTCGTCGCCGCTGGAATAGATGAAATAAAAACCATACCTATTAAGTACACTGTGACCACAGTTAGTCCAGTTCTATCGAATATAGTAAACAAGATGCTTCAGTCCGGTGATTTCCCTGACGAGCTAAAAATAGCCAGGGTCACTCCAGTGTATAAAGGAGGGGGTGAGACAAACATTCATAACTACAGACCTATCTCAGTTCTTCCAGTTTTTTCTAAACTATTTGAGCGTGTGATTGCTGATAGATTAACATGTTTTTTGTTTTTTTTTTTGAGAAGCATAATATAATAACGCAGTCCCAATACGGCTTTCAAAAGCAAAAATCGGCGGAGCTAGCGCTTCTTAACATAAAGGATAAAATAGTTGAAAATATTGAGAAAAAATTATTTACTCTTGGTCTCTTCTTAGATTTAAGTAAAGCTTTTGATACTGTGCAGCACAATATTTTACTTAGAAAGCTTGAAATTTACGGTGTGCGCGGAGTAGCTCTAAAATTAATTGGAAGTTATCTTGCAGATCGTTACCAATATGTACTAATAAACGGCGAATCGTCAAATAGACTTAAAATACAGCATGGTGTTCCTCAGGGGTCAATTTTAGGTCCACTTCTTTTTCTTATATATGTTAATAATATAACGACTATATCCGGTTCCCCCGACCTTATAATGTATGCAGACGATACCAAAGTATTCTTTTCTGGAGTGACGAAAAAATGCTTAGAAAGTGCTGCAAATGTCTACCTATTGAAGCTATCCAATTGATTACAAACGAATTGTTTAAAACTAGATATAAACAAAACTAAGTATATTATTTTTAAACCAATAAATAAACTCGACTGCAGCCCCATAAGCTTAAAATTTGAAGACACTGTGCTTGAGCAAGTGTCGGAACAAAACTTTCTCGGTGTATGGTTTACCGAGGACCTTTCATGGAACACTCACGTGAATAAACTCAAAGGTGAATTATCTCGTGTTAAGGGAAGTACGTATAAATTACGAAACTTGCTGCCCAAATGGCTAAAACAGACGTTGTATTATTCTTTGTTCTACTCTAAAATCAGTTACGGCGTCTTAGTTTGGGGGACGACGATCAATTCGAACTATGTCAAACTTATCACCTTGCAGAAGAGGATTCTTCGCATGTGCAAACATTATAAAGGAGATATTAGAAACATAAGAGCCCAACTACTATTCATCAATAATAATATGCTTCAGGCAGACCAAATATACTATTTTAAGCTCTTACAATGGATTCACAAACATAGAATATACTCCACACCAAAATCGAGTTTGGGTCCGTACCAACTACCAGACCCAAAGCGAAGGATGCCTTCAATAAGAACCAATTATGGCCGCACTGCTTTGTCATATCAGATAACTAAGATGCTAAACAGAACAGAAATGACTATAGATTATAATAAAACATTTTATGTCTTCAAGAAACAGTGCCGAAGCTTTCTCGTGGGCAGTGGTATCAGCTTCTCAGTTGTGTAATATCTAGGCTATTTCTATTATGTACTTATATTTGGCTAAAAATGTGGCTCTTGACATATATTAGATCATTCTTCATTGCTATACTAAATGGCGGCCATAAGTCCTATTTTATGCTGTGTCCTTCTCACTTTTTTTGTGTATTTTTTTTTAATGTTTATTTTAGTGATACGATGCTTCCGTGTAATACGACGATACATTTGTTATATGCTTCGAATCATGCTTGTTGTGGAACGTGTTTTTGCTGGTTGTTTGATTGTGCCGTTTTATTTTATTTCACAATTCACAATGTTGAATGTTAAAGTACCTGTTTCATTGTGCCTTTTTTAATTTTTACTGAGTATACCTTTTGCTGATTATATTCATTGTACTGTTTACTGTTGAACTGTTGGGGGGCAGAGACTCTGTCAGGCTTCTCTCCTTTATCTCTGCCCCCTGGGCGGAAAAAACCCGCCAAACAAATAAAGAAAAAAAAAGTTTGTCTGCTTTTTCCGCGCGTTTGTTTATTCCCCAAATATTTCCCTTGTGGTTCTGGTTCCTCCCGACCTCAACCAACGGTGTTGATACTTTTTGGAGTGGCACGCATACGCGATTGTAGGCAGGAAAAGAAGACAAAATGTTTTGTCACGAAAAACGTGACAAGAGAAACCGACAAAAGCATGTGTAACGGTTACCACGGGCTCACCATCAAACCCCACGTCTTCATGTAAATGTTGTACATAAACCTTTTCCCATCATTCTCGACTACAATCTTGTACAAATAATTGGTGCCGAAACTCTTCAGGAAAGAAACACAACCATGGACAAGCTCAAGAAGAGACCTGGACTATCCCCACTACCACGACGAAGCTCGTCCAGGGTATATTGTCAGCTCTGGAGCTCCCACCGCTCCCACATGGTCAAACTCAAGAGAAGCTAAATCTTCTTGGCATAAAGGCAACTTTTTCTTTCACAATCTCGACGCGGAAATTCGATAGCTTCTGAATGTGGTCGAAATCGAGACAGAAATGCAAGCCAGCACAGTCTGCAGAGAGTCTATATACAACATAAAGAGAAGTACCACGTGGTTGCTACAAGAAAAGCACCAGCTAAAAAACTTATCGACTCCTGCTGACTGAAACCTCGGCTTTTATTCAGGGGACTCAACGAAACGACAAAACGAGAGGTATCAACGTGAAACTTCCCAGATTAGAACTTCCAAATTATAACGCAATTATCGAGGGCTGACAATAATTTTGGGACCAGTTTCATTCCTTTATCCACCGCAACACGATTCTATCTCAAGTCGAAAGGTTTAAATATTGACTCAATATTTAGTTGGTACAACAGAATCAGTCATAAAGGGGATTCCTGTTAGCGACAACAACTACAGCGCAGCTACCCAGCTCCTGGAGAAGAGGTTCGTTCAGCATACAGGGATCGTGAAGAAACATCTTTCGCGCCTCATCGACGTAAAACCTATCGGATCCTCAGAAGACACGGGCGGTCGCAGAAAGCTTCATGGCGATGTCCCTATTGAAAAAAAATTTTTTCGGAATTTAAATTCCAGTAAACGATTATTTTACTGGATTATGTGACTCTTTTCACTTCCGGTAAAGCCCGAATTT